TATTTATAATTTAAAAATAAAGCAATCTCATTTGCTTCCCCAACAACTAACCTTTAATTCAACTAAAAACACTGTTTAGACAAATTCTTTATTGAGAAAACTGTTTTTGTTACATACATACATACATACATACATACATACCACCTACTTATATGAGCCGTTAGTAGCAATTCAAGCAACTCATTGTGGACGAAAACGAATTTAAGCTTGACATTGAAAGATTTGCTTGTTTGAACAGAATTGTTTTTAGTTAAATTGAAATTAGCAAATTAGTTTTAATTATGCTCATTAACAAAACGAACAAAATTACTAAAAGAAAGTATAATTTAATTTTACACTACTGTTAATAATAGTAAAATTAAGTCATAATAATGCATAATGAAAATAAAAATGCAAATGTTATTTAAACTCTTGCTATTAAATATGCAAAAAGTGTAAATGTAGCATATATTTATAAAATAATATTTTATAAAATATGTCAAAAGAAACCTTTTATGGATAACTACATAAAATAGCAGGATAATATTATAGAATTAAATAAAACGAATAATATTATTAAATAGAAAAATTCAAATATGGATTATTTCATTTTTGTATAAAGTGGAAAAAGTAAAGCAAAAAATTTATAAACCAAGTAAGGAAGACTTAAGTTCGGGTGCAACTGAGCTTTTTATACTCTTGTAACTTGATAGAATCAAAGCAATTTTATATATTTGAACAAGACGGACACATAAGTTTRTTAGAAAAACGAAAATYGTTATATGTAGCATATGAGAGTTGRAGTAGTATCGACCCGATTTTATGCAACATACTAAAAAATTTTCCCTGGGTTTCATTGAGGTACCTCACATACAATCACCAATCGTRAGCACAKGTAGCCTGATGTTCGAAAATCATSGAAAGAGTTATATGAGAACTAGGTCAAGTTTTCGCACAATTTTAACTAGTTTATATTTATGGAAGCCTARAATCCGTCTCATATCATCTCTCAGGTAAAATTGTATGCCTCTGGCATAATTAATTATTGATTTAATGCGCTTTTAGCAGTTTTSAATATGTAGTGCCGTTATATAGAGAGTGAACAGAGAGTTGTCTTCCGATTTCWTCCATTTTCCATTCTACTGACGATACGGGTTTTTAAGTATAATATTTGTGCTAGACAAATTTGGTTGTTGTAAC